ATATATATATATATATATAATGGCTTTGAGATGCTAGCAGGGACGGACTCGTTCAGCAAGAGTTGGGGCAGGAAAAATACACCGTGTTGCTATTTAAACAGTTCATTTTTTTTTTTTTTTTAATCGCTTTGAGATGCTGTGGCAGCCCCATGCTGGCAGGGACGGGCTCATTCGGCAAGAGCTGGGCCAGTAAAAAAATACACCGTGTTGCTCTTTAAACAGTTCAGGTGACCTTCATTTATTTATTTTTATATCTTTGGGATGGAGCAGCTCTACGCCGGCAGGTCGGACTCATTTGGCAAGAGCTGGGGTTGGTATTGGGAGCTGTTTCCAGGGATGTCCCCGTCAGACCAAGTTATAAGACTGGTAGAAACTGGGCTTGCCCCTGCTCCGCGTAAAGGCGGCTTGGAGCATTGCACATCAATCAAGGACCATGTCCCCGCTGAGCAAGCTCCAGCCCCATCATGCTGAGGCAGCTGCACTTGTGCCTCCTTCTGTAAAAAATAAAAGGAAAAACTGCCCTTTTGCGGCCCTCGCAGCATGGGCTGGAAGCTGCAGCTGGACGTGCCAAGGCAGGTTCTCCCGATAGCCTTTGCTTTCCCCTTGCAGGTAAAGCAATGACTTGTGATGAGGTTTATCAGACCTGGTTTCAACGATTGCCCTCCTGGCACCCAGGCAGCAGGGAGAAGGAGAGCAATGGGATCTGGTTGTAAAAGGAAATAAGTAAAGTTGGGAAAAGGACAGGAATGGGTAGGTCCTGAGGAGGCTGAAACTAGAGGAGGGGAAAGAGAAAAGCCAGCAGGGACTGAAAGGCAAAGGGACAGGAGAAGGAAAGGGAACAAGCCATGAATCCCTGGGTGAAGAGGCTGGGATGGGAAGCCAGCCATGGAAATGGAGCTGGGAAGGAAGCTGCAAACACAAATTGGACCAGGACCTAGGAGAAGGACTGAAAACAGCTTGACCAGGAGACTGGATCTGGGAGGTAGAAGGAGTGGGGCAAGGGAGATCGATGTAATGAGCTGCTGGACTGTTGCGGGGGGGGAACTGGGACTAATTGTGGAAAGAGCTTGAAATAGAGGCAGGGAGAGAGAGCAGGAGATGAAAGCTAAGATCAGATGAGGGCCCTGGGAAGGGAGGCTGTTGCACAGAGCCAGTTAAGGAATGACATAAATAGGGGGAAGATGACTAGAGGCAGGGGAGGGGAAGGAAGAGAGGCAAGGGCTAGGAGTGGAGGCTGGGGACTGCCTGGGAAAGGAAAGAGAGAGCAAGGAGTCAGGCACGGGTGCTGGGGCTGGTTAGGCAAGGAGTCTGAGACTAGAAGTGACATGGAGCTTGGAGGGAGTGCTACTAGAAAGATGTGAGAAGGGAGACTCCAATTGCCTGGGTGAGAAAGCTGCTGAGAAACCTGAGAAGAGGAGATGGGACCGAGACCATGAGTCAGGGATGCATAATAAACTGGAGTGGGTCAGAGACAGGTTAGAGCAGACGGGGGCCGAGCCTGAGGGTGAGGTGACCATCTGGAGAGGGGCTGTGACCACTGGGTGCACTCCCCTCCTGAACATGAACTGGAACCCAAGCAGCCCTCTCCTGTCAGCAAATATGTGTGAAATCCAGTGGCAAGGTGTGAGCCTCGTCCCTCTCAAGTCCCAGTCTGCTAGAGAATAAGCATTTACACGTCTAGCCATTGCTCTGTCAGTGGAGATAGCAGAGGCCTGTGTGTTGGAGCTAATGGTTCAAATCCTGCTGTGGTCCCAGGGGTTGGCCATTACAGAAGCATAGAAAACGAAGGTATGAAGGGACCCCAGGAGGTCACATCTGCTCCAAGCAGGATCAGCCACAACTACAGCATCCCAGCCGAGGCTTTGTCGAGCTGGGCCATAAACCCCTCCAAGGATGGAGATGCCACCACCTCTCTAAGTAACCTGCTCCAATACTTCACCATCACCATTATGACTCCATATAATGGAATTTCTGTTTTTTAAACGTTGACTTATTGGGGGAAAATATAGATGATTACACTCCCAAAAAACTAAATTCAGTGTTATGAAGGTGGTAAATGCAAGTACTCAACACTTGGGAACTTGCAGAATGATGATGGCCTGTCAGCTGCAGGTGTATTTTGAGCACATTCTGCTTTCTCACTGGACACCTGCCTCGTTCGGTGCACAGGAAGGACCTCATCTT